TTCTTCAGGTCATTTTGGAGTTCTAAGCTATCACCCTTACTTCGTATCGCTCAGCATAGAGCAAGACCGGTGATGACAGTAGACGAGGAAGGTCATTTACATACAAGAGAAATAACACTGGTCCCCCAACTGTACCCTGAGGCACTCCACTAAGCACGGTTTCTCAGTTAGACAACTTGGAGTTCGCCCGTACTCTTTACTAGGAAGTTTTTATCCACATCAATAGACTGTTTCCAATTCCGACATTTCTTAGCTTATATAACAGCCGGTTGTGCGGAACATTGTCAAAAGCTTTGCTGAAATCAATGTAAGCTACGTCTACAGGTAACTTTTGGTCCTTGAGAGCGCACCAGCTTTGACGAGCCACTAGTAAGTTAGTGAGACAGGAATAACCTATTCTAAAACCATGTTGCTTTTCCGAAAGGATCCAGTTCTCATCGAAATACTTAAACAATTCCTTCCGAATAATCCTTTCTAAAATTTTAACAACCACACTAGTTAGGCTAGCGGGTTGGTAGTTCTCAGGTTTATGTTTAGTACCTGTTTTGAAGACAGGACTTACTATGGCGTTCTTCCAGTCTTTTGGTAAATGACCCTGGGTTACGTATAGATTGAAGCATATATTTAAAGGGTTCGCAACGAAGCTAGCTAGTTTCTTTAGTAACGTAGGATGCAGCTCATCGGGTCTCATGGATTTCCATATGTCAAGCTTATTTAGCAGACCAAAGACATCGAGTTCTTTAATGGTCACATTGTCCAGTGTGTGTGGGGGGATTTGTATGAGCTGACGGGAAGGGCGTTTCTATGGTGTATGCATTGCTAAGGTAGTTCGAGAATACTTTAGCTTTACCAAAGTCGTCCTCCACTAATGATGAAGCAGTACTGTGTCCCCATAGTGCTGGGATATTTTCTCTTCTTTTTGTTCTTTGGTTTAGGGCATTCTATCGATTCCTTGACGATTTTTTCTTCGTACAACCTTCAAGACTTACGGATGGTCGAGACACAGTTATTCCGAACTTTTCGATACTGAGATTTTGTCTCATCAGTCCCCAGTAACCTAAATCTATCCCACATTTTTCTTCTCACGGAGAAGGATGGGAACCTCCCTACTGAACCATGGTGGAGAGTCCGTCGACCCCTTGGTGTAGTCCAAGGGATGTTGGGTGCAGTAACTTTTAAGTATAAATTTCGAAATACGTCCCAAGCCGTTTCAATTGGGGACTCTGGCTCTATTGTCCAATCTATTGACGATGCAGGGTGTATAACATCCACATGTTAGGTCTGGATTAAGCTGATGCGTGCTTGTTTTGGACAATTATATGGAAGTCAAAGGTTAGGACTGAATGATCACTTTTACATCGGGGTGGCATGTAATCGAGGTTCGTAACGTTATCCTCATAATGGGTCGATATAAGATCTAGTAAGGATGATTCCGAATCCGGGTCGCACCTGGTCACTTCTTTCATATGCTGCACTAGGGAACATATGGTAACCGCACCAATTAGTTCCTGCTCGAAGGAATCATCTGACAATTCAGTTCGCAGATTTTTACAGTCTACCATGGGTGCATTAAAGTCTCTTAGGATTAGATATCGACTACTTTGTGACCAAGTGTTGAGACTGTTTAGCGGTAGACCAAACCAATCAGCACCTCTTGTCCTTTGCACTTCAAGCGGCAGCTAATTGATCCACATGTCCCTTTCTCATGGGATACACTGTCGATAATGGTGAATGGGATAGCATTCCTAATGAAGAGAGCTACTCCCCGTTCTTTACGCTTCTGGATTCTGTCGGCTCTTACTAACGTAAAACCCTCAAATTCAAGTTCCACACTATCTATAGGTTGCGTCAGCCAAGTTTCTGTGACTACAATTATATCTGGCTTGGTAACTTTTTGAGGTATGGCTTCAGTTGTCTCTTTCCCATTGAAATTGTGATTCGGTTTTGGGAGGACAGTCCACTAGGGTCTTTTCGACCGGTATTCGTGGTTACAGATACCGGCTGACCGATCAGTCGGGCTCATTGTGCAAACATAGGGTCAAACTCTGAACATCTAATCAACACTAAACCACTAACGGTTCCAAACTCTTCATTTATAGTACGAAGTTGTCCCGGTGTGCAATAAACAGTGAAAGTGATTGTCTTTGAAGTATCACCGTCTTCAACGACTGCGCAATTTCTTTAATGTTGACTTGTTTTTCAGTTTGCATCAATGCTGACATCGTCTTCTTCCAAAGCTACCAGTTACAACAAACTGATACAAAAACCATTTAAAGTTTTGTCAAGTATTTTGGATCTGACATGTCTAATTTGTTCGCTTCATGCGCTGAATTGATACCAGCGACTCCTGAAGGCTTTCCATAAAACTCATATCGTTTTGTTAACAAAAATACTTGACTTGTTATCTTCGTTGTCCCGAAGGATTACCAGCTTTTTAATTTCGCTTGCATGACGCATTCATTCAGATTACTGATCTCTGTTTTGTTTATATTTACATATGGGCAACACGTACGTTTATTTTCGTCCTCATATTCCTAATGTTACTGTAAAGCAAAACTTTCCCCGTCCTTCATGTGACAAACTAATGCTTTCAAGGACGTCAAAGGGTTGAATATCGTTTCAGCACCGGACAATCTTCACCTTGAGTAGTGTGTAGCCATGAAGTTGACAGTATATTTATTTATTTAATTTATTTAAACACATAAACATTGGTACAAGGAGACACCAAACAGATATGCGCCATTTAAATCATTCGATTTATATGAGGGCAGGGATACTACCTGGTGCTCAAACCGAAGCAGGTGGTTTTTTTTGGGGGGACACACCCCAAGCCTTTGAATAAAGGTCTAATCTACAAGGCAGTGGTGCAACGTCTCATTGTAGCCGTTAACCAATAGTTGATTCATCCGCAATTTGTTTCCTTAGGATCTTGGAGCCCATGTACGCCATTGGTTTGGAATGAGGGTTTTCCAACTCCTCTACGTGGATCCTCTATATCCATCAACCCGGTTAAAGCGTCGGACATTCGCTTTTCCTCCCCTCAGTTTCGTAAACAACACCCCCTCCACAAGGCGGTGAGTAGGACATCCCTGGCAATGATTGTATGCACATGGCCGTGTGAAAGCATTTGGAGAGGGAGAGCTGACCCTCCCCACTCTCGGCCGTACCAGGACATTTGGGGGCACTATGTAGCAATACCACACTTTTGGTCGTTTATCAGTATTAACAAAATATTAGGTTTCCAAAAACTGTTACGGACTCATATCATCATAAATACGCCTTTAAATGTAATCAGTTTAAATTATTCTGAGCCACATCAAATAGGAAATACTATACTCATTTCTAGGAAGGCGAGAATCGATGATATTTACTGAAAATACCTTTACTCTAGTAACATTTGCCATTAACATAGCTTCTTAAACAATCCATAATGGAAAATAACGGCATGTTTTACAACTTATATCTAATTTTCGGTGAAGTTGTACCATTTGCCAACCAGCGATCCAAGCTATATATGTTAGAGAATGCAATAAAAGGTAGGTCACGCTGAATCCAAGTATCCATTAGGCAGGTAGTTGTATACGGTTTTGGGAGATACTGTTCACATCTGTCAGTGGTGTATCGTACTCATATTTTGGACGGCCTGAGTGTTCACACAAAATGAAAAAATATTCAAAAAACATAAATTTCTCCCTTATTACACAGTCTGGCACCTCGAGTAGGACACGAGATTACGGAAGTACATTGACACTACACGTTTTGATACTTCATTTCACCAAAAATTTCTTGGCAGCTGCTTAAAGTTACAGCATAGGTCGTATTGGACTCTTGAAATTGTGAGTGATTTGCACTTGGTTTCATTTCGTGAATCCGTAGTCTAGTGAAACTGCAACTACATACAGCTCCCGGACTCGATACGGGATTAGTTCGCTTAGTCCTACAACAGGAGCTAGACAAATAATTTACTTTAGTATGTATCAATAGATTTTACACTTTGCTCTGACTATGTCTGAAGCATGTGATGATAATTGGGTGTTGAGTTTTCATTTTACAATTTCATTGACATACTACTGATCCCACAGGTAGTTATCAAACAAACGTATGAGTTATGTAATAATCATTTGGGGAATTCTTACTTTCGGCTTGTTAGTTGAATGGCTAAGGTTTTACTTCTTTATCCCTGTTTTATTGTATCGGGCAGAAGCTTTTACTTATGTCATTTTGAAGTCCCTGTTATAAACTAGTGATTTTAAATCATTGTAAACATAGGATCTTTCAACTTTTTGTACTCTTTTAAAGTCTTCGCCCAACTTGTCTCTTTTAAAGCATCATGATCAGTCTGACTGCGTAATGAGAGAAGTAAAACCATATGAAACCAGTTACATAAAGTATTTGTAAACATGACTGATTATTTTATCTATGTTCACTACTCGATTGACATAAACGTCCTTCTGGTGACGACCAAGAACAAGTAATTGAAACCAATATGTCTGAAATAGTTACCCCTATTAGTCTATCAGTACATGAATCCGAAGATATCGCGACCGTAACTTTCTTTTTGGTACAAATTTTCTCCTTATGCATCAAAGTTACTCATTAGTATAGTTGCGCTTGTACGTCACGCTTTTCATAGTAAAATGAAAAGTTAAGTATTTCGACTTTATTCACAATGTAGTTAGTAAATGCGTGAATGATAACTACAATGTAGCATAATTATTTTGAGTCCCTGGAAGCCTGTTAATTTCCTAGAATGAAGTATTTCTAAACTGTGATTTGTGAGATAGCAAATACCTGTGATTAGCAACTTAAAAGTATTTGGGTCTATTTTAGTTTCTGTTTGTCAAATTAATCCTTGTTATCCTGTTAAATATTACTCGTATGAACTATTGTCGTTTTTACAGATCATTGCACTCGATTACTTTGGTTGAATCAACTACATCAAATTACGGTCAGTTTTGTGATTTTCCACTTTTATAGAGGTGTACATGATATAATCAGACATGGAAGAAGAAGATACGTACTTACCAGAAGTAAATTAGATTTGAAGTTATTTTCTCTTAGAACCACCCATTACAACAATACTTTCGAGAAATCGGAGTTCCGGATGTTGCTACTTGTGAAATCTCCAAAAGGCCTACTATCACTACCACTACTACCTTTCTGATGAAAAAGTTTGCGTATATCTTATCGTACTTCAAATGCATAAATCCTTTTGATTTTACATTATATTTCGGTCTCGATTTACCAGTAAATTATTGTTATTAGCTTATATTTGTCAGCTTACAAGATATCTTTTACTTCAGATAATTAGCCTAATAAAGTACAGTGATCTAATTACTGTTGAGAATAAACCAGTGGTTGAATACATATACTCGGTGGGAAATAACGACCAAGTCGACTCAAGGTAGCAAGTGAAATTGAAATATTCTGATTAAAAAGTTCTAGATGTTGTCTTGCGATGTTTTCAACTCTTTTTGGATTCGGATTGATTTACTCTACTCAAATGATTTTTATATTCTTACTCGTTATTTTATGTTTACGGATGTTCAATGTACTATTTTTAATGGTATCTAAATATCATCTTGCAGACTCATTGAAGCAAATGAAAAAATTCTCTCACAGATCCCATCTTATCGTTCTTTTCTTACAAGATCTCAATACCCGCCGTTATTTCGGTCCCAAGTATGCATTTTTAAATTACTGACAACCTAATACAGAATTGTAGATAAAAGTACATTTAAAATTTTCCCACTAATATACCATCAGGCGTACAACTTTATGCGCGCTTACCTTATAGAATTGATTGATTTTTCTGTTAAATTGGGAAGTAGGTCAGAATATGTTATTGTTGTACTATATGATTTTGTTTTCATAGACTTAATTGATGAAAATAATTCTGAGATACCATTGGAGATGTCAACTTCAGAACTGATTCAATTAAAATGTGACATAGAAGAAAAGCCTAAAGACCCAAGCATCGAAAATCTACGAGTTTGTTTTTCTCTTCGGTTATTTTTTATCTTGTTTCTGCTTTCAGATGTTTTGTGAACTGTTAAAACTGTTAACATCTGATCTCTTAGTCAAATTGTCATTCTCGTTTTGCCAATCAAGACGGGATACTTTTCACCTATGTATGTTCATCATTTGTATGTATTTATTGGTAGTTTGTGTAAAACGCTGATCAATCACAAATTACTATCGAAATAAATTCATATTCTTACATTTTGCTGGGTGATTGAAATTTAAGGTTTCGTTTCAATATGCGCATAAAAAATATCGGTCAGCGTGCATCATGAAATTTGCAAGGTATTAAGTAATTGAATCCAGTCATCTCGAATAGAAATTAATGTTTACCACTTGTTAATCTTCTAATGCGCTAAAATCTTAGGAATTATTCCAATGTTAGCTATAAAAATAAAAAAATAATAGGTTCCGCAATATGAGAAATTCCTGTGCTATTGGACTTATTGAGAGATGAAGCATTATTCATCAGTAGGCTATATTATGTGTTTAATATGACGTCTTCAAATACGTTCACACTAATTTTGAACATGACAAGTTTATTACATGGTATATAGTAGACTTTTCTAAGTTTTGTTGAAATGCTAGGGAGATGGAGTAAGTGCTGGTAAAACAATGTTAAATTATTCGTCCGAATGCCAATTCATCCATTCTTCCGTGTAAAGATAGATAGTATATCAAAGCTCGGTATACAAACCTGTAATTGATTAATGTCTTTTAACAAATTAACTGTTCAGTGTATCGTTGAAGTAGAAGTGGTGGTTAATCCATTTTACTTTCAACCAGTAGGTTAAAGATACGAAGGACTACTTATTTAATTCCGTTTGAGGAGCCGAGTAATATTGTTATAGCATCTACATAAACTGTATGACTTAATGTTGAGTACACAAATCTATGCTTGGTATATGAGTTACACCACAATATAGGACTTAATAATATTGATTCTGTTTCTTTTCGTTTTTTAGTACGATTGATTATGTCGGTATGGAAATGGGACTACTTTTTGACTAGAATAAAGAATGAATTCAATAAACTGAATGAATTGCATTCAATGATTTTAAATGGCAAGCTCATACATAATGATGCTCGAACTACAAAAGAATGTGTATCTGGAGAAAATGAAGTCAAAATCTCTATAAACGAACAGAGGCTCGAATAACTCACGAATTATTGCTGCATCTTCTTGTTTCATTGGAACAGTAAGTTGTGCATTCTACGTGTTTTGTATGATAATGTTTGTTTCAGTTATTCCTCCATATTGTATACTTTTCGTTTTAACTAGTCGTGTATTATTTCCCTCTTCTGTTACTCATTTCGATATCATGTTTAGATTTACGCTACCTATGACTGACTGACCTTTGATTTCATGAATAGTGTTTTCTTTTATCTGAGTATGTTATTGCAATGAAGCAACGATTTAGTTATTAAGACACTCGACTGTCAACCGATGAACTACATGTTTGAATCCAGATTACTCTGCTTCGATTTCGACAACCCGTTTTGTATCACTATCCCTCATAAAAAACAAGGTACGTCCTATAACCAAATGCAAAAACGTATACTTGGTTGATAAATTACATCATAATACTCCATTCAGTTTTTATTTATACGTGAGGGGTGATTTTTCCCCATTTTCGGTCTCCATTTTTCTTTAAACTATTCGGCAAGGCATTGCTGTTGAATGTTTCAAGTTCATTAACAGGACACTACAAACCTGTGTTTCATACTTATTGAGGCTAATAAAAAAACTACGTGCCGATTCTTCAACTGGAATATCACTACATTTTTGGTTGGCTTAATCAATTGCTTATTATCACTACTTTGATTATTCTAAAGAGGAAAGGGAAGTTATCAAGACCGTTTTTCATACGAGATAAGTTTTAAATGAACACCGCTTGTTTTGTTGTCCGTTTGCACCTAGAATATGTATTTCAAGAGTACAGTGCTTATATTTACCGTTTGTTGTCATTATTCGAGTTATCATTACATTTTTATATCCAGGACGTAGCAACTAAGAAGTGAAGAAAGAATGTGAACTAGTTGGTATACATTTTATGTCTTATGTCTCAACTTCAAACTTCTGCTGTCCACAATGTCACATTTATAGAAGTTGACGTCGAAACTTTTGATTAGTGATCATACTTGCGTTATTCATAAGTTTTAAGCATAGATAACTAGGTATTTAGACATACAGATTGCTTCGAGCAGCAGAAATAGAAAAATACATGAAGTAGCTTTTGTTAGGGGTTTGAAATTTTGTGCATGTGGTAGTTGAAGTTAGACGGAAATTTGAATTATAGGTTGATTCAAACCGTCAGCCTTTTGATAACCAGGCTGATGCTTGATAGAATGTGCTATAAGATTAGTTTGTTGGATGCGAACTACTCTATGGACTTGTCGGATATGGAACGCTAATATCCGACAGCAATTCGCAGCTTTCAGTAACTTAATTTATACTGGTATAGAACAACTGTATCTTAGCGTTTACGCTAATTATTGACTTCGATCTAAATAAATATGACAAAGCAAATAGGTAAGTCGGATTTTTATCATTCATATTAAAGTAATCGGTAGTAATCGGCGTGACATATGTTTCTTACCTGTTAGTATATTCACCCGTAACGTATTTCAAGGGTTTTGAATATAAACTTAGTGCTTTTTGAACTCGAACCAGAATCATTTACTTTATAGTTGACATCACCTTATAGTAAGAAATTCAGCATTAATATCTTTTACTCATAAAAAACAGATAATAAAAATTAATTTACATTCAGACTGTGAATGCAACATTATATACCCAAGATTTATAGTGATGTAGTAAAGATACTTAGTTTTGTTTTGTTTCTATCTGCGTGTACTGCAACTTCTTGTGAAATTGTCTTCTGATATATTGAATATTTTAAGGAAAAAAAAACAAGCTACGAATATCTAACTTATTCTTTATTTCCATAGTGCCAACAATTTGAAGTCCTATGTTGAACAAAATTGTAATACGTCATTTGTTTCGAATGAAACCTTTTCCAATTTAGTTAGTCTCATACGTTGTCAATTGAATGCATCCCTGATTTTTTGAATGAATTGGATAATGCTCAAACTGCAGACAATGTTGATATTTCAAAAGAAAATATAGAAACTACTGTTGACTTCCTATATTGCCGAGATGGGATTTCATCTAGTAAAGATGTTCTGAAAGCTGTGGATCCAATTGTAGAGGATGATGTATGTAACAAAATGTTTTTGAGTACTTGCACAAATGTACTTAATCATAAGTTCTTAGTTTGAATTATAATGTGTAACAGTTGTATTAATTAGCTAACTATGAGAATGATCTAGTTATGTGGTCTCAGTATAAAAACTTCATCATGTATGCTTCCTGTTATCTAATTGATTGACATTAGCTATTGTGTTTTGCTCATAGCTTCGTAAATCATAGATTGGAGAACAAATTAATTTAAAAAAGTTTGTCCGACATAAAATTACTGCTTTACCTGTCTGGCTGGTGCTGAAGTGGAAACATATTTTAAATGAAAATCTTCATGAATTCTTAACTTTGTGATTTTCACGGATCAAAAGTCAATAAAATTTTATGTCTAAGCAATGCTCAGTGCGGGTACTTGGCTTGATAAAAATGTAACTTGGAATTTGTAACCACGTCAAATAACAGTAGTATGCTTATGGAAAAGAACATTTGTTCAAAACTACATTCACATCATTTTCTAAGGGACAGTAAAGGAATCCAACTTTTCACCAGCTATTTGAAAATCACTCTTATTTGCTTAAGTGTATATATAGTAGTCAAATACTTTTCCGTTACTGATTTGCAATAGGTTGGTGTATTCTTCCACTACGGTTAAAAAGTGTTTACTCTGATCAGGTACTTGATGTTCCCTGGTGAGATTTCCGGCTTGTGGTTCTGTTTTCTTTATGATATGTTGAAAATTAAAAGATTGTTTGAGCATTGTAATCACTTACTAGAAAAAACAGGGTTTTGATTGTATTTTGACTTGCGATTCCCATATTTCAGAGAAATTTAATTACAAGGAATATGAATACACAAGTTAAAATATAATGTGTGGCTATTAAAACTAATATGTGATTGGCCAGCAAATAGAGATGATCAGACACCCAGCTGCGGTGAATCTGTGGGACACTATTGAACATTTCGGATTCCTTTCTATTTTGGGTTTCACCATATGTAGACAGCTTGTATTTGTACTAAGACAACTACTGTCTAGCTCTCAATCATTGGTCGTGAATCATGTATATATATTTGACATGATCTCGTATTATGCTCCAATAATCTTATACCTAGAATATTATTTTATCGTTTCGTGGCAAACGACAAGACTATTTGATTTTTTTTCTTTATGTTAAAATGTTAAGAGGAAACTGGAATTAAAATTTTGATGATTGGTTAGTAAGTAGTTTTAAAACCCTAAGACTTCTACATAATTTTGAGATACAGTTTAACTGCCAGTTAACGTCGGATACCAAAATAATGCATTACTTAACCAACATTTACCCAAAATTTACTGAAAATCATTTGAGGATTGAGTAGCACTCAGTAGTTGCCTTAATGAAGTTTGAGACTTTACAACGCTATACATCTACCGCCTTCGGGTTGAAATTAGCCAACTCTTATCATGGCAAGCTCTATACAATACTATCACCTAGTCGAAAATTCAAATATTTGAGCCTGAGTCAGTTTGACAATATGGCATAACGACTAAGTAGCATTGTCAGGATGCCTTAACTTGGGTCTTGACTGTCTGTTGCACGGCCAACGAGAGATAAATTACTAATCGATTAGATGAATAATTGAAATTTAGTACATTCGAAGATTATTACAGGCCACGATATCCTTGATCTAATTTTGTTAAGGGTCTTGAGTTCCTGTTATTAACTAGAACGCAAATTTTTTTTACTGCTCCTTGGATTCATATGGTTGTCAATTAATCATCGGTTTGCAATAGTATTTACTTTGGAATTTAACAAATTTTCGCCAGTCATTTTTTTGTGAAACTACTGGTTGAGTAAAATAACCCATTGTTTCTGCTTCTCATTGATTTTCTCCCAGCAATTTTCTCATTAGTTTATGTTCTGTATTGTGAGATATTTTCTAATAGATTTTCTGTTTATTACATGGTGCTTTGTGAATACCTAGGTATTAGAAGATATAGCTGTTGGAGACTCCTCTAGTCGTGAATCTGAAGCGGAGTACGAAAATGTTGATTGCGTGAATTCGCTAAAGGTAAGCGTTATAACCATTGTCGTATGATTTTGGAAGTAATTAAGTTGAACTGGGGTCTTGGTGGTTTAACCATTTATCTTTTAACTGATATGTTACAAGTTCGATTTCTACTACATATTGGCTTGGGCATACGCGTAGCATTAGTAGCATTGATACATAAACCTGTTCTTAATAAATTCATAATGTTTATTATATAGTTATGATCATGTTTGTGAAAGCTAGTTATTTCGACTAGGTCTCAGGGATTTAAATTTGTTAAATAAGTGTTTGAAAGGCCTGAATAGTACTTTGAGACATCTACAATTACTCTAATATGAAATTACTTGTATCACAAACCATGGTGTCGCTATTAAATCTTGATATGTGCCATGATCGTAGTCTCACTGAGAATATAGTTTGAGTTATACCATCATGAAACACGTTAATCTAAACACCAAATTCAGTAATATAATCTAATTTGAAACTAAAATAGTTTAAACATGACCTGGTTGGCTGGGGTTATCAATACAAAAACAGAAAATATGTGACCACGCAAGATTATTGTGACGATATAACACGAATGGGTTCTGTAAACAAGTAGACGGGCATACCCAACGCGGGATCGGTGGCAGATATAGGTCGATCTGCTTTCCCACACATCACATCAACACAATGACAGGAATTTAACTCGGGCAACAAATGAGTAGAGAAATGTAATACTAATGGTAGCGCCAAACCAAACCAAACGTCTTTAAAAGGTAGAAATCATGCTGAAAACTTTAAAGTCGAGAATGATATTAGGCTCAAGACCGATAATGTTTCATTCGGGAAATTCATTTCATAAAAACTTTACCTTTTCTCCTGTTTAGAACCCATCATCAGGTATGCATGTCACTGTACTGAAAGAACTTAAAAATGTAATATCTCACCGTCGAGTGATTATGCAGGAGCGTGAAGAATGTGCTTTAAAACGACGATTGCAGATAGAGTGTCCTGATAACGAAAAGCCGAGTCTATCTACTAACAGGGTCAGCCTAAGTTCTGAAAAGCAGCTTCAAGTAAGAATTACAAATGTTTCTTTTGAATTTTTTTCGCTCTTTTCTGTTTTAGTACAGTGTGTTCAAATTTTTGTGTTTTGAAAACATCTCACATGTAAGTAGTAGTCTTTCTCTTATGCAAGTCAAAGTGGCTTATGGGAATATGAAGTATTTTTTGAGCCATCGGCATGTGAGTCTGACTTTAAAATACCGAGTTTACAACGTGTCGGTCAGAGAAGTCTTCTTTTGTCTGCAGAACATGCCCTCATTAAAGATAAGGATGTACGGATACCCTGTTCGACCATCGTTGTCTCCGAAGAATGTTTATTAATTGACTATTTTCAAACTCTAATTATAACAGAAAATTTATTTCATAATATGCCAGTGATACCCGACCGTTGTTGCTACCTTGACGTGGTGGTCGGGCTTGCCTATCGTGATGAAGCAACCGAGCTATACTGGCTGGAACAACCGTTCCTCAAGGTCCTACCATGTCAGACAGGTCGGTTGAAGAGCGGTAAGACTAAAAGCAACAAACCCAAGGTCCGAAGGCGAAGTCGTACTGCTGACTGTACAGAGGTGTGACAGCAGTAAGGTGTTTCCTTCAGACAACCAGCATGACAGCGATGCTGCCTTCCCACAAGGAGGGGTGGGGTTAGAAAAGGTCGACCCTAAAAATGCACACCTCACCTTACCTCACGGATTTCCGTCTCCGGCGGTAAGGCCCTTTGAAGAACGGAGCTAACACGTCAAAAACCTCCCACGAAAAGGCCGTGCGCGACCGGCCTCAAGCAGTTGTCCCTTGGGCACTGCGGTCACGCTCTCAGGTCACTGAGACCACCTCTAATCCAATTTCCTTTTCAGGTACCTCCAGAAGAACCCTTCCTCGGTGTGGGCAACCGGGAAGTGATAACCGCCCTCATACCTCTAACAGCACTCGAGACCACTGTATTCATAATCAACCTTCCTCTTCAATTCCTATTATTCCTCCTACATCGACTTTCAACTCTAAACTTCCTCTTTCGGCTTCCTCCTCAAGTGTCACCATAGCCAACGATTCTAGTGCTCAAAACACTGTCCCAGGTCTACTGAAACCTCGCTCCAAACTACACATTGGAGCCTTCAACGTACGCACCCTATGTCAAATCGGTCAGCAGGCTTCCTTGGCTAAAACCCTAGAGTCTCTTTCCATTGATGTATGCTGTGTCTCCGAAACACGCATACAGGATTCCAGTGTGGTCATTCACTTGACCTCACCTCGGCAAAACGGAGAGCCAACGAGATACACCCTCCGTGTATCTGGTGACCCGATGGCCAGTTCTCGTGGACTGGCAGGTGTAGGCATAGCACTAAGCATGAGGGCGGAACAAGCACTGCTAGAGTGGATCCCCGTCAACAGTCGTCTATGTGCTGTTCGGCTAAACGGCTCCGTAAGAACTCGGAAGGATAGGGACACACGTCGTTGCCTTTTTGTCGTTTCTGCCTACGCTCCCACTGACTGCAGCTCAGATGAAGTGAAAGAAAGCTTCTGAACTTCTTCAGAAAGCTAAACGCTCAGACATAGTACTCGTAGCAGGTGACTTTAATGCTCAGATAGGTAGTTTAAACCAAACAGAAAGGCATTTAGGTGGATATTTTAGCATTCCGGCACAGCGAACAGATAATGGTGACCGTCTGCTGCAACTGTGCTCAGACAATCGCTTATTTTTAGCAAACACAAATTTTAAGCATAAGGAGAGACATCGTCTAACATGGCGACCCCCTACACCAAACCAACGATGGACTCAAATAGACCATATTGCCATCAGTCATCGTTGGAGAGGGTCGGTAGAAGATTGTCGCTCATTCTGGAGTACCTGCTTGGACTCCGACCATGCCCTAATACGGGCACGCATCTGCTTGCGCCTCACTGGACGCAAAAAAGCCACATTAAAAAGACCCATTAGAACTGAATTGAGAGTGAGAAAACCAAAAGTAGGTTCCAGGAACAACTGAGGTCACACTTAGGTAGTTCTGAAACGAGGCTGACCCAGATGTTGCTTGGAAAGATACAAGCAGCTGTGGAAACAGCAGTGACATCTATTAGCGACTTAAACCACAGAGTTACAAAGAACCAGTGGATTTCTTCAAAGTCTATCACACTGATGGATTCTCGCAAACTCGTCCCATCAGGTTCCGAACATGATGAAGAGCGACAACAAATCAGATCTAGGTTAAGAAAAAGTCTAAGGAACGACCGTGAGCAGTGGTGGGCAACGAAAGCAAAAGAGATGGAAAAGGCGGCGACTATAGGGAACACAAGACAGCTTTACAGACTAATAAAAGAAACTGGAATTAATAAGTCAAGTGTAAGTGAGATTATTTCGGAAAAAGACGATACTCTCATCTGCTCCCAGTCCAGACGTTTAGAACGATGGGCGGAACATTTCAGAGAACAGTTCAGCTGGCCTTCAGCTACTCTACAACTACCCTCCATTCCCAGACAGTGTGAATGGAACATTGAAGTAGGTCCCCCAACTCTTGCTGAAGTTCAAAAGGCTATAGTTAATCTGAAACGAGGAAGGGCAGCTGGTCCAGATGGACTGGCTCCAGAGGTCTTTAAGGATGGTGGTCCAATTTTAGCGATTAGGTTGACTAATATTTTAGCTAAGATCTGGGAATTAGACGTTATCCCATCTGACTGGTCACAATCACTTATCGTCCCAATATATAAGAAAGGGTCAAAATCATCCTGTGACAACCACAGAGGGATTAGTTTAACTAATATAGTATCTAAAATACTAGCCTCGATAATTATCAGACGCCTAACTAAGACTCGTGAACTGCAAACACGAGAGAACCAAGCTGGCTTCAGACCTGGTCGTGGCTGCATCGACCACATATTCACCATTCGTCAGATTCTAGAACACAGGCATACTTATCGGCGTCCGACAATGGTGGTCTTTCTTGACTTAAAAGCAGCATTTGACTCTGTAGACCGCGAGATTCTGTGGCAGTGTCTGTCATTGAAAGGCGTACCTCAGAAGTACATAAACCTTGTGAAGGCTCTTTACTCGAACACTACTAGTCGAGTCAGAGCTTATGGCGAACTGTCATCTACTTTTGCAACCTCAAGTGGTGTCCGTCAAGGCTGTCCACTTTCTCCATTTTTGTTTAACTTCATCATAGACCTATTGATGGAAATAACATTCTCGTCGACTGAATTCTCGGGTATTGATCTCCTTCCAGGAGGTCCACTTATCGACTTAGAATACGCAGATGACATAGTCCTGTTTGGTGAAGACGCTGACAAAATGCAGAGTCTTTTGGTAGCACTAAGCAACAATGCCAGAATGTTTGGAATGCGCTTCTCTCCCTCTAAATGCAAGTTGTTGCTTCAGGACTGGTCTGCGTCAACACCTGAACTAAGGATAGGGAGTGAAGTAGTCGAACGCGTTGACAACTTCACTTATCTTGGAAGTCTGATCAGCCCTAATGGGTTGGTGTCTGACGAAATCTCAGCACGGATTCGAAAAGCTCGTTTGGCTTTTGCCAACTTACGTCACCTTTGGCGAAGGCGAGATATCCGTCTATCAATAAAAGGACGAGTATACTGCGCGGCAGTCCGTTCTGTTTTACTTTACGGCAGCGAAACATGGCCATTAAGAGTAGAAGACACTCGTAAGCTACTAGTATTTGACCACAGATGCCTTAGAAATATTGCTGGCGTCTGCTGGGATCACCGGGTAAGTAATAGTGAGGTTAGACGCAGGGTATTAGGGAATGATGGTAAATCAGTTGATGAGGTTATGAATCTTCATCGACTGAGATGGTTGGGCCACGTATTACGTATGCCTGAACACCGATTACCACGACGTGCAATGCTAACCGGTGTTGAGGATGGTTGGAAGAAAGTTAGGGGCGGCCAAACCAAAACGTGGCATCAGTGCTTGAAGTCACTAACTTCTAGTCTGAGCCATGTTGGTAGATGCAGACTACTTGGTTGGGGTCCGCGTGACTATCGTAACCAATGGTTGGAGACTCTTGGTGACATGGCTCAGAATCGATCACAATGGCGTCGGTGTATACACTCTTTGTCTTCCCTTAAACTAAGAGATTAAAATCACTTCATATCTTTCTTTCTACGAACCAATTCTTTCTTCTTGTACTATATCTCTATATGCAATCTTTCTCTTATTTATTACCACCTTTGACCTAACCACTGCTATGAATCCGGTGTTCATCTTGTTGTGCTGATGCGGTATGGCAACCTGGACCGATGCATATATGTGCCTGGTCCTACGTTGTAGCTGACTGACTGACTGATGCCAGTGATAGTCTATTTGAGTGCACTTTATTTTTTAGCTCAATCCAGTGATTGGTATGTCTTGTGCTTTGTGGAACAGTAGGTTACTAAATAATGCGCTTTAATTTCGACTACTAAGTTGCTCCGTCTACTGTGTTTTGAAAAGCAGATTACTTTAGCTAAACTTCACACAAACTGTGTAAAAAGCAGTCGAGTATATAGAATTAAGTTTGATAAATAAGTGGGATGTTGTTGGTGATATTAACTTAGTTCTTTCTTTCTAGGAATTTTTTTCTGTTGGAGCCTCTAATGTCAATTCAGTTTTCAATATTTTAATAGCTACATGTCATAAACGTCAGATGGACCTCGTTTGTAATTTATGATGCTAGCCATCCTTACAGAAGACTTCCAGTCTATAGTCAGCTGTTTAATAGCCTACATTAAATCTACTTTTCCATACTCAGCTTGATATATATTCCTAAAATAAGTAGTATAGATTTTCACTTTTGTTTTTTTCAGAAGTGATTTTTGTTACTTCACGTTACTCTCAAAAGTCCTACTGATCATGCTCTGTCACACTAAAATGTCCATGAGTTAGTGACAATGATATTCTAATTACTACTATGAATTAGTAGACTACATTAATGCTTAAGCGTTTCTCACTGACTTTCAAATTTTTACCCGCTTATATCTTAATACGTAAATAAAAAGGTCATTTTCTCAGATCTTATTTATTATCTGATCGCTTTTTCTTTACTATTTAGACTCAGTTTGCATTATCCAATTCACTTGATACAAATGAAAGCAACTGTGCTTCTATGGATGATAAACTACTAGAATTTTTCCAAACTCCTTTGTGTAATTCATCATGCGAATATTTCAAAAAGTCCCGTACTAGGCGTCGAAATTTAAAATGTAATGTTTTAAAAAGAAACTCAATCTTTTTTCAGCTGTCATCTACTAATGTACATGAAAATTATAGAAGTTCAAATTGTTCTGACCCAATTGTATTGAAAAATGTTTCACAGTCAAAAAACCCACCAGATAATAAGTTTCTACAATCTTCTGCACTAGCGAATGCTTTAATGAATCAACGTAAATTGTTGGGGTTAGCCACAGAGGATTTTTTTACCGGAATTGGTTCAGGTGAAATGTGTGTTGAAATGTCAGAAGAGAATCATACAGGGATTTCATCATAATCACTGAGTTTTTCTTCACAATTATCATCATGTAGTAATAGACATTGTATATTATTCATTTTGTTATTTTTCTGTGTAACTCTTCTGACACTTGAGAGTACAGTCGCATTGTATTTTGTTAAAACTGAAATATACGTCTAGATACGTGGTATGAGTACGTAATAGATACTATTGAATGCATGTTCGAGGATTCAATGTTGTAATTGGGTAATATAGATTTTTACCCTTTGAATTTCGTACGTATTACCGAACGGAAATCTGATTTGTTTTGAAGTATCTTCTTTGCTTCTTGATCGCACTTGCGACGTTTATGTCCTAACACGATCAAGTGAAGTAACGGCAGAATAATTCTCCCGAATTTATGATGAAGTTTGTCTTTTGAATACCAAACTAGCTGGAGTCTAGCATATTGTTATTAGTTTATTCTTCTGTTGTGATAAGGGTCTCTTGAAGATGTGTCCTATAGCTCGATTCAATCACTGATTGCAAACTTGACGCCTGACTAACCTGCGATGATAAAGAGAATCAAGACTACGTGTGATCTTCACTGCTAAAAGCTGAATAATTTGCTCAAAATTTATGGAAAAATGTAGGTTACGTGTGATACGTTTGCAGGATAGCAGCGATTTCTCTAACGGTGACTCTGATACTATATACAACGGTTCTGTTCTCTTTCAGCCCCACCTACTCCGACTGGCAAATCTTAGACCGAAGAAGGGAGATATGTATCCATAGTAATTCAATTGCACATCGATTGATTTTGATGGTTATTAATTGCGGAACTTAAGGTCTTGGGAGCCATCACTTAAATGCAAAATAGCTTAAGTAATGACTAGGACAATGAAATGGCTTGAAACACTGAACTAATTTTATACGGATTAAATCAATGCAAATGAGATTACACTAAAAGTTAATGATCAAAACTCACTTTAAATCCATATGTAACTTCAAAAGTTGATTTCTAAAATCAGGTGTTTGTAAATTTACCGTTCCCGGTATATTTTTAACCGAGATAGGGATATGTAGGTCGTGAAATTGTGTTGGTGAATAATTTATCTACTCACAGTAGATTACCCACAGTTTCCTCTCACCACTTGTCTTTGGAACAACATTTGTTTTATCTGGCTGCTCAGGAAATCAACTGAAGCATTTGAATTGATGAATTGTATTCAGGTTGTTCTATAACATAGAAATCCTGATAGCAGATTGATTGTTTTTATGTATTCAGGATATAGTACTCAAAAATCAGTGTCAAAAGCTATAACCAAGTGATCAACATATACAGGGATTAAAGAAATATTTTGGTAAGATTTAAAAAAGAATAAATCATGAGTTCATATTAGAGTTCTTCCTTTTTCACTTGAGTTGAAAATGGGCGGTACGTATAAAGATCATAGTTGCCTTGTATTGGGAGTTCCATCTAAATATATCAAATAACTTGTCAACATACTGCTTGAGATTTTGCACATCTGGTGCTTATAGATCAATAGATAATCCATTACCACAACTTTCCTAAATTACATGCTTCCATGACTAACAATGTTAACTGATTTAAGGGTTCTAGATTAATATAAAAGGAGTATAAGCTAATTGAACGATGTCGTTAAGCGTATTTTCACGATGTCAGCGGATTGTTCGAATTGACTTCTTTGGATAAATAACAGTTACCTCAACTTCAATACTCGACAAAACACTTGGTTTATTTCCTTCAAAGACAATTTGTATTATATGTTGAAAATCGATTTTAATAGATGTAAGGTATTATATAAATGTAGCCAGCTGATTTTCGTTTGCCTTATACCCTTTTTGAAGAAAGATAAATCAGTGGCCTGTTTAAGATGATGAAATATCAATCTTTCTAAAAAATCAGTTACCTGATTACGATCCCAATTACATTTTTGAAGTGTTAGTTCGCTTACCATGTTGATTAATTTCAGAACGCATCATTTTATTTTCAAACCTTCGTTTCTGTAGTCTTGTAAATCATAAATGAAAAAAGACATTGCAGTAGGTTGCTTATGCAGTTTTGAGGATCATTAATTGTTATTTCGTCTCTAAGGCAACCTGTTTGGGTTGATGTTTACTTTACGGAATCTCACACTTCTGTCAAGCATTTTACAGTTGAGTTAGGATAGATTGACGGTAATCAGACAGAAATGGTATTTCTGTCCTGATGGCATGCTATCATTTCCAATTTTCTATCTCTAGTTTCGTCAGAGTATAACAGGATGATTTTTCTAGATTCCTTTCTCAGTTCTTATCCAAAATGTACAATCCCATATCGGACAGACAACTCTCCCTAAATTTCCATTCATCTTTTAGATCCTTCATTTCTTTGCAACATCAGCGTTAATTAACACATGCATGATGAAAAATCTCAGAACAAAACCAAATAGTTATCATTCAGGATGTTTTAGGTTTCATTCCTTGTATTTTGTTCAAAATTTTCCATATAACTATGTAGCTAAAACTGTGTCTGTTTGACTGTGTATTTACTAAAACTTATTTCCCAAGCGAATTCCCGAACAAACTAAACTTTTTTGTAGGGTTGCAATTTTCAAGAAGTATACAATGATGTTAGGTTTTTTCGTCAGAAAATAAGCATAGAGAACCCCAGTACAAAAGTAACCAAAACTGGGTAGGCGAAATATTCCGACTAATATTTGTAACTACTAGCTAGTAGTAAGTTTAATAATTCAAAATATAGAGTTTTGCCTTAATTTATGTAAAGGTCTTGGGGCTTGAAATTAAAATAACTCCGGTGTTTCGCTTAGCAGCCTTGTCTAAGTTCCATTACGGAGACGTCAGACTTGTTTTTACTTCAGGCGATAACATTTTTAAGTCTGTTATTTTCTTAGTGTCTTCCTAAACTCGGCTCCCGACTATTGTGTTTCTACTCTACTGCTCTATTGCTTTGATACGAAATGGGGAAGGTGAAACACAATAAACTAGGAAACCGTTAAAGAAAGACTTGGCTAGTATTTCCATATAACATAATAATGCTCATTTTGGGCATAAACTTCTGTGACGTAATATGCTTATAAAATTGGCTTAAGATATAAAAATCAACCATTCATAATGTTATATTATCAGATATTTTACTTCAGTATTTGCTTACAGATCTCAGAAGGACATACTACTGAACTCAGTGCTTACCTAGTTTGCCTCTTGACTAATGAATTAGTCAGACATCCTACTAAGTTTTATCTGTGAATTACTTTTTTTGTATAAAACTTTGATTATTCTAAGTGGATGTAAACCATTTTAAGCAGCATAATTGCCTTCACTTTTTGTCTGTAAGCGGATATTTTATACTCAGTGATGGAGATTTGTTAGTTGTAAGAAAGTTATTTTCTAAAAAAGAAACATGCATAGATCGACTTTGAAATTTTACGAGACAAAAATTTACTTAAGTTGGTTATCTCAGTAACTTATTCTCTTTGTTTACTGATTCCATATGTATTTGTCAATGATTCAAATTTCCAGTGATGTAGTGCCTTGATATTCCAGTTATAGGATGTTCGACAAATTCTTCTATTACAGCAATCACTTTTTTAACTTGATCTCTTATTACAAATACTATTTTCTCCTGCGGACATGTACTAGTGATTATTAAGTTTGATATAGTTTAGAAAGTTTATGAATATGTTATCCTATTTCTTGGACCTTAAAACGTCGCATTCAGATGAATAATTAAGCTTGAAATGGTAAGATAAATAGATTATATGCATAAGCTATTTGTGTAACTACTCTTTAAATATGCATATTACAGATTTATTCTGTACAACCAAATTTGTCGAAAACATTGAATTAATTGAATAGCGAATTTACTAAAGAAACATTAACCAAATGGTTTGTTTGATAAGTTTCAAATATGAATTTAAACTAAAACATTGATCACTTATTAGATGCAAATAACGGAAGAGATCAGCTTTCAGTATCTAGTATAATTAACTAATTAAAGATTCTGTTATACCTTGAAGCAGTAAACAAAGATCTCGATATGGAAAGCGACTTTGTTAACATTAACACAGTCATATGAGAAATGTTCATAACTGAATTCTGATGTTATAACTTATTTTAATTATGTATAACTTATTACGTCCGTAATCATATTTGGAATGAGTGGTAAGGAATAGTATGTAAAAAAAAAAACTATTTTCGAATAATTAATCTTGTTTAGATCTTAACAGAAATGTTATATTCCTTAACAAATAGACTAGAATCGATCGATTTTAACGAGGTATTAACTTGTTATAGGTTAATTGCATTCAAAGATTATACTTATACTACAATGTTGGTAAATAATTTTATTCATCAGAATATGAGAACTGAAATTCAATAATTATATACATACATTAGGCCATATTATTGAATTTCTTAACCTGCTTCGGTTTGGACACCCGGGAAGTATCACAGCCCTCATGGATATCAAATGAGATCTGTGTGGCGCATATGTAGTTGGTGCCTCCGTGTACCAATATCTGTGTTAAAATAAATAACCTTATGATACCTTACAGTTATCATTTTTCTATATTTAACTATATTTCTATACAATTGCTGTTAGAAATCATAGTTGCATTGATATATCATTTGATAAAATCTGATTATTTATTATTTAGTTCTATTCAATTTCATTACAGTTTCAGTAATATAAACTAAACCATCTTAGAGAACAGATTACAAATAACTTCTTGATACTTATAAATAACCTTTTTTCAAATATCATAGAAAGGTAACGAAACTTTATAACTATTTAGAGCTAGACCATCGTGGAAAACCTGGAAGCATTGAACGACTGTTTTGTCCTAATATGGGACTCCTTAGCAGTGTGTATCCACGATGCCGCACGTGGGACTCGAATCTAGCACCTTCGGCCTTGCGCGCGAGTGCTGAGGAGTCCTATACTAGGACGGAACGGTCATCCAATGCATTCAGGTTTTCCATGATGGTCTAGCTTCAGCTGATTCATGAACTCAACTATGATCTCCACAAAACCCCTTTCTGATAAATTGTAAATTAAACATTGTAATTACGCAGTTCATATTATAATTTGCATTACGATTTAATGTACATTTTATGGGGAGTAATTTGAAAATTTATCTTATCATACCAGGATACTGGAACAGGTATGAACGTATAATTAATAAAAAATCTTAGCAGTTGAAATCATGAGTAGATCTAAGCTAGACAACTGTTGCGAAGCTGGAAGCACTGGACGGTTGTTTCGTCCTAGTACGGGACTCCACGGAAGTGCATATCCACGATCCCACATGTGTGACTCGAACGCAGTACCTTCGATCTCAAGTGCGAATACCTAACCTCTATACCACTGAGTCAGAATCCAATGGCGTTAATATCTAAATTCAATTGGGTCATGATGTCGCGCAACTTTTCATCCATTGTGTGAGGTAGATAACTGTCTCCGCCCGATACGAATCCGACTCAATTAGCACATGATTGTTATCAGAATTCACGAGTTATTCTAAGCTAGATCACTGTTGAAGAGTCTTATATTAAGACGAAACGGCTATCCAGTGCTTCCAAGTTTTCAGTTGTTGTCTAGCTTAGATCGACTCATGGATTCAACTATTAAAATTATTACAATCTCGATAGACCCTTATTCTGAAAAAAAATCATTGGTTACTATCAGTTTTTGATCATGATCTATTCTATTTCATTTGTTTATCTTCCAAATATCATTAGCCTTTAAATCATTATACATCACAAATTTAATAAAAATAAATAAATATAATAAGACTTTTGGATTAAGATTTATAGTTTTAACAATAAA